TTTTGAACTATCTTTCAATTCATCATACATCGTTGATAGTTTGAAATAGTTTAATAATTTTCAGAAATATATAATTTTTCGGAAACATCCACTTTTTGGGGTTTTCGCAATGTTTTACGTCATTTGTTCTTGTAGTACGGCCATTCCAAGTTTTTTCTATGTTTAGCGTCCGCGTGCGCCTTGGTTTTTGACACCCCATACGAGTAAAAACGCACAGCAACAGGAGTTCTTAAATTGATATATGAAGTCGAAATTTTTGAATTTAATATTTGTAAATTTCTCCAAATAATTCTGTACAGTAAGTTATATTGGGTGTCTTTTAAGCATTTGACCCGTGTTTTTTGCTTAAGAATAGATTTTTCTTCTATTAAAGCAATTTAGTTAGATCAAATCATTTGAAGGACATCATTTTTATAACTTTTAAGCTTGTGTTTTATGTTTTGGCTTGTGTGTTTTTTTGCGAATAGGTAGGTAGGTTTTTGAAAGATGAGTGGACGCTAAACAGAGAAAAAACTTGGAATGGCATAACGATAAAATACTTTTCATATTTTTTCGGAACGAATAATCATCACAGACGGAAGTTGACATCTTATGGATATGGACTGGACACCACTCCCCACTTTCCCAGCCCTTATGAATGTCATTTGTATCAATATTGATATCCTATGACATTTTTAATGTATTATTTCATGGATAATTTGATTGAAATTCTTTTAAATCCTAACAATATTTTGTCTGATACATTCGTTTTAACAAAGATAATTTTTAAAAAGTAATTTAATATCTTATAAAATTAATGACTTCATCAGTTTCTGAAAAAGTCCTAATCGAGCTAAATATATCGATTGTATGCAGCGGAAGTTGAAAAGCATGTCTCTTGTCAAAAAATTATGCATGACTATGCTTGTTTTTATTTCTTAAATATACAGCGGATTCACATATGTTAAAACTGCCTTCACTTGTCTGTTTAAAGAAAAATGTTAATTGCTATTCGGAACCGTTAATCTATATTCAGACACAAATAAATAGTTGATTACATCATGTTTCTTTTTAAAATTGCATAGAAATTGCAGAAAACAATCACAACTGTAGCAATACAAAATTTTTCAAAATAATATTATTTCATTATCTAAATTCGATCCTTATAGATTACAGTTGCCGGTAAAGGAATTTAGTAACGAGGGAGGGGGTTGTATTGAGTGCAGAGTGTCTGATGCAGCGTTGAAGCCTCATGGGGGTTGGGAGCACAATCCTGGTAGGGTCCGGGGAACGAACATCTACTATAATATGTGCCCCCCTTTGATTTAGAAACCAATCGTCACCTTGCAGGAGTTTTAGAATACATTGCCATGGCGGTAAAATAATATTTCTCATATTATACGTGTAGATCTACTATAAGTTTGTGTTTAATGCTGGTAACAAAAAAATATTAACTACATGCTTGTTTTACAAAATACAAGTAAATTTTTAAAAATCAAAAGGCGGATTGGGAGGGGGGGCGAGACGCAACGGCCCTGGATCCGCCTTTCAATTGCATGTTTAATTTAAACCTGTCTTGAAAACACTGATGTCAACATTCACCATGATAAATATATAATCTAAATCATATTTTAAGAAAGCTGCATAATAATTTTCAATAAAACGTTAAAAAAATCTCTTCTTGAACATAAAGTCAATATCACATACGTCCAGTATGAAGGAGGCGCTCGTTTTAATAAGAGGTACATGTATGAATGTAAACTTATGTCCTTTGACTGTTTTTCACTGTATATATTGATTGAAATTTTATCATATTATTATTTTATTAGGGAAGACTGAAGAATTTGGTTATTCAACATATGCCGGATCATTGTGACGTCATGTTTTTAATGTATTGCGTCATTGATTTCCATACAATGTCCCTTGATAAATATTACGATTAAAAGTTTAGGTGGTTTTCATAACATTCAGATACAGATTTAAACACTAAATTTCTGTAAAGTATAGATTAGATGATAACACATTCAGATTCAGACTTCAACATTTAATTTCTTTAAAAGTATATATTTTAATGAGGAGGAAAAGTCACATCTATCCAAAAACGAAGTATTTTCAACTACAGTTTTTCTTAAAAAACGGACGTGGCCGCACTTTTGTACAGTTATTTTTTCTCTTGCATATTAGTTACCAAAGTATACTTGTTTCGCATATGTACTCGGATGCGGCCACATCGAAATATTAACTTGAAGTGGAGCAAAACGTCCAAAATAGGTGATTTCCGGAATATTTGACCGGTTTTGAACCTTATATACACAAAAGGTCACGTGAGTCGAAGAAAATTGATACCAATTTTTCACAAAGGGGAACCTTAACAATAAATTGACACAGTTCAAAAAATGTTATCGTGCGTTTAATTTTTGCCGATTTTACAGGGCCGCATCGTTAAATACATACTGTACCCAGTTCTTGCTATTTTTACATGAAGGCTGCACATAGAGCAATTTTGTGCAGTGAAATGTCCTATGCTGTTCCTAAATTATATATTAAATTAACTGGCGTGAATTCTATCATCATATTGGCAAATATATCAAAAAAATCATGAAAGTCATTGTAAAAAAGAAATCCCAATTAAAGCTTTAAGATAGCACTATTTTTTAATATCTAAAAATTAACATCACAAACACCCACTTTTTATTTCATTTTCTGAATCATTTAATTTCTCTGAAATACTTGATTATGATTGGTTAAAAAATTCTTTTGATACCTGCATCAATAAAATCTAGAGTTCGCTTGCACTAAGCAGCCGGAACTACTTGGCAGTCTCTACATGTATATTTCCCGCTTCCAGGTTACTCACTTCTTGAAGGAATAATTAAATACTTTTACTTTAATAAATATTTTCCTGAATTTCGAAATCTGTCCGTTATGTTCCTGACTTATTTTCTACTTTCGTTTCTTGTTGAATTATCGCCCTTTGCTAAACAAATCAAATCGTCTGCATAACAACAATACAGTTTTGGGAAAGAAGGATAGAAATCGACATAATTTTGTTAAATGTTTGGCTTTGAGATGTCTGGTATGAACAATAGAATTCTGAAGAAACGTTTTTTATGCTACCAAAGAGAGGAAAACCGTTAATCTGTTAAATCTTGGGAAACGAATGATCGAGAAAAACGACACTGCATGAATGAGGACAGATTCTTTTAATCTTACACAATCGGCAGCAGACTCTTTCATGTTTTACAGCATTGACAGGTTGTGATACGTATTTATAATATATTCAGATGAAAAGATGTGCAAATAGAAATCCAAATTTCTGTGACCTAACGTTAATGTTCGAACTGTTAGGATATTTGAGCAGCTTCCCTTTACATTTACGAACTTAGATAACTTACCGGGGAAAATATACCGATTGGGATAACACAACAGGTAAGTTTTTCGTGTTAAAGAACTGTAAATTATTTCAGAGAATGTTGGTAATGCCACGACAATATTTGAGAACGTTTCCTCGTTTGAGCCATTTTGAATTTCAGCAACGTGAACGTTGTTGTGATGTATTTGTGCGCAGTTTTTGAGGCGTAAATTCAATAGAAAGGTGAAAGAAAGTTTCGTTTTATTTATTTAAAATCATTATTAAATGATAAGAAATGAATGTAATATTTTTTCCTTTGATCGATGTATCAAAGAAAAATTTGGACGGAAAACTTTTTCATCAATGCGCTACGCATGCATTCTGAATAAATGTATATGAGATAATTTTAACCATTCTCCTTAAATACGGGAAACATGTCATTACTTTCAAATGATTTTGTTGCTTGTTGAATTAAATTTTTTAACACCAGAAAAATAAAATTTTTTGAGTGCAGAAAGGTCAAATGATATACTATGCCAAGTAGTTGAAACTAATTTTGTTGTCAAAATATTTAATATGACTATTTAAAATAAAAAGAAAAACTTATTTGGTCCAATTATTCATTTGGATGAAAAATATGAAAGGAAAAATTGAATTATGTGTTAAACATAATTACACTAAAGTTGGCGTTTGAAAAGATTAAGTCATCGCGTTTATCATAAAGCTTGTATCTTAATATGAAAAATATTTATCACACTCTGTGGTATCTTTTTATTTCAATCTCACCGATATATTTTGTTTCGACATAAGAATGGAAATAACCATGAAACAATTGCTAAAAAATAATGATTGGGGAAATTCGATAGATAGACAATTTTTATAGCTTTTATAGCTTTTGAATTTTTTTTGGGTATATTTTACCAGTGCAAATCATCATTTAAAATAATCCCAGAAAAAATTCAATTTTAGCGTCCTTCACTTAAACAAAAATCAAGAAAAGCCAGTGAAAATCTTTTTAAAACTTAGGTGTATAGGTTTATATAGTTTTTCTCAAGAATATGGTGATAACGAATATTCAATATCAAAGTCCATAAAACAATACAAAATAGGAGCAGAACAAACATAGACCTCTAAAAGATCAGAGGTGGGATCAGGTGCCAAGAAGGATTGAACATCCCCTGATAAACCTGCCGTGTGTTCATTGCCTTGATCGGGAAATAATGGGAAAATTCTTCGTCATTCAGTCTATAAGTAATGGACTAACAATTAGTATGAAAAACTTGAGTTAAAATTGACATGAAATGCCATACATTGGTAACTAACAAATAAATGGATAATTTTTGCACATCTTGTTTAATTAATTTATACTTGGTTAGCAAAATAATGATCGCAAAATAAATTTTTGTATCGGGTTTAACTAACTACGGTGCACAGCTAACATACCTTTGAAATATTAGGGGGTTACTCAGTAAGTATTTCCCTGAAGATTGATATAACTCTTCGTTTACCTCGGTTCTTCTTAATCCTTTCAAGCAATTTGAAGTTATGAATCTAAACGAATCCTCGGCTGTAATTTCAATTATCTTTCATGGGCGACCCATTTTCATTCACTTCATTATCATAACCAACAATTTTAATGTGTTCGCATTTTTATGAATTTCTGATCTACCTTCTCAACTGGTTTCCAAATTTTTTGTCCAATTTTTTTAATATCAAAACACGCACTGACATAAATACTCTAGATGTAAAATAAATACATACACACTACTCTTGCTTTAAAAATAATAGCAATAAACATAAATCATTTTAAAATATCAGATTAACTAATTCATTTATATTTCTACCAGTTTTGAACAATTCCTTCAAAAAATAAAGGGCACGGTATTTTTATACCCCTGCTTGAAAAGTGGGAAGATATATAGTGATCAGGATGTCCGTCTGTCTGTACTTCCATCCGTGAGACTATCACGCTTTGAGGTACTCCTCTAATACCACAATGAAATCTAATGAGACCTTCACATAATCTTTTTATATAGTGCCATTTGTGTTTCTCATAGCAAAACATGAGAATACCATACTTTCTATAGTATTAAAGGGTACTCATCTCTTATTCGCGACTTGTTTGTATGTTATGCAACTCTATCTCGAGAATTTTTCACTTAAATGGAAAAGCACCACTTGCATGTGTAGAGTTGCAATTATTTTTACTCGGCACTTACGGCCATTGAGTAGTGAGTTCAAAATAGAAGACCTGTAATTCTTTGAAATGTGGATAAAGTGGGAGTTTAGACAAACCTACCTTCAGCGAACTGTCAACCTGTTCAATGAAGTTTTAATTCTCTGAAACCAGACTTATATTCATTTTGCGAAATGAATTAAAAAGCATCATCAACTCTATTTTTCAGGCCTCATTTAGTATGAAGGCGGATCCAAAGCTAATGACCCATTAGCCATAAAATCTTAGATATTGTAGCATTCCATGAAAAAATGAGATACGGATCTCGTTTTTTTTCAATATTGCCTTTACATTCTTATGAAATAATCGTAATACCTTTCAGAAATACACAATGTTGGGTCTTGTCCATTGCCACAAGAGGAGAATTTATCAACCTTATTATGACGTATCTACTCGGCAGTCATTATGAGTTCATTTGCATCTAAAAAGAAGTAAATTTGAAAATAAATTATTAGACGAAATCAAAGTATTCTTAATCCATCGAATGTTATGAAAACGAACATAGAATTAGGTTTTAATTTTAAACGAGGTATTAAAATTCCTTTGAAATCTCCTTATCTGAAGTAGCCTTCCTAGATCTTAATTATTAACAGTACTGAAGGAAATTATAAGTTAATCTTTTTTCATTCAGAGGACGAAGAAGTTGTTCAAAAATCATTTATGTGAAAAGAAAGCACACTTAATTTAGACTTCATTTCAAAAGTTAGATATATCGACAATGTAGTGTCATTTAGCAATCGCCATTTCCGTTCTTATGTCGATACGATATACCCCGGTGAGCTTTAAATTAAACATACTGTAGACGTAATTTTTTCCACGGGGTTATAATTCCGCGGAATCTCAATTTCTGTTTAACCCGCGGGTAGAAAATTACGCGGATTTTCTAAATTGTCATTAAATGCCTTATATTTATATTAAGTACGCTTGGACAAATTTCCGCGGAAAATTTGTGATCGCGTACATAACGTAAATTAATACCACGCGGAAAAAAGTACTTCAACAGTATCACAAAGTCTGACACATCTGTTTCACATTTGGATATTTTACCAGAAAAGACGTAAATGGTAATCTAATGATAAAGCCTAATGAGAAACATGATAACTTTAACTTTTTAAACGCCAACTTCCCTTACTTTTGCACCTAAATACATGTACGGGGTTTATATATCTTAGTTCGATGCGCAAGAACATGCTCTTCGCATGAACAATTTTGAAAACGAGGTACATGTAAGTTATTGACTAACAGATTGATGAAACAAGAAAATGAACAGTCTCGTTTAAAATCATTTCGTAATTTGTATGGTCTATGCAATGACCTTTTCAGCATATACAATCTATCATCAAGTTAAAAGCTGAGTGATATTTTTTATACTAAAGGTTAGGTCATTATTTACTCACTGAATTGTATACGGATTTTTCCGTTTTTTGCGATCATGAAGGAAATGGTGGGTTTGAACGGTCGGGAGAGGATGCTCACTTCTCCATGGCACCTGATTTCGTCTCTGATATTTTAGATGTATGCGTAAATTAAACTTGCTATGCTTCAAAATTTGTATTGTTTAAAGAAGTATTGAATTTGAATACCATTTCTTTTCTCTATTTGCTTCATTTTCTTAAAAAAGAAAACTTAACTCCAATTTCTTTGACACATGAATAAAGATATGTTATATAATTTTAAGATAATGAAGCAATCTATTTGAAGCAACCATTGTTTTTTTAATGTTCTTTTTTACTTTTAGGAAACATGGGTGATCATTATTTTCTTGCCACATTTTATGCGTAAAAGAGAACAAGGGATAGAATATTATAAAGTTGGTGTTAAGGGCAAACGAACTTTAATACGTAGAATAGTCATTTTAGTAAATTAATGAAATAAGGATTAACTGAGACATCAAACAGTTCCTTTGTATGAGTTGAATTCTCTGTATTACTATTAAATGCTTTCATTTGATGTCTTATAAGGGATTAAAAAGTTGTCCTAAGCAATTTACGGATTAACCTCTCTTTCTTGTAGATCGTCAGTTTTATCAAATTCATCTTATATCCCTATTCTAATGTTATCAATCGTCACCTTTCTTATTAACATATCACATACATTCATCTATTTACAAAAACTCATTTGCTTTTCAATGTTATAAGTATTTCACACTACAACATTTAAGGACATTTATCGAGGGGATACTGTTACAACTAATGTCGGTCGTTTTATCATACCTAGTCGTCAAATTTACATTACGCCGCTGTATTGGTGCATTGTCAATAACCGTCATGCTGAAGATTCCAATCACTCAGTTAATAAAGGAATAAAAGGTAGACGGGAAAATCAGAGCGTAAGAACCCGAGCTACATCTTTTCGTAATTGATATCAAA